ATGTCACTATTGGAGGATAGGAGATGGATCTCAGGGAATGCGCCTAAAACAAGGGGGCCTGAGTTTGTGAGGCAGTCATCTCTGACCACTATGGCCGCGGCTCTTAACTTGCATGACATCTGGCGGTTGGCCAACCCGGTGGACTCCGACTTTACGCACTTTTCTCCAATACATGACTGCCTGGCGCGCTTGGACTATTATTTCTGTACTCCTGAGCTCTTGCCTAAGGTGAGAGACTCGGAGATACATGTCGTGGTAATCTCGGATCACACCCCTATTGCCTTGTCGATTGAAATTGCACCACGTAGACCAAATGTATACCTGTGGCGGTTTCCGGCATTCCTACATGCTAACGAGGACTTTCGCCACTTCCTGGTGACGTCGTGGAGGGATTATGTCTCCCTTAACCAACAACATGTAGTCACTCCAGTTCTCTTCTGGGAAGCAGCTAAAGCGTATATGAGGGGGAGAATAATTTCCTATACATCGGCATATAAAAAGAATATCGTGAGGTCCTACCGACTGGCGAGTGCCCGTCTGAGGAGTGCCAAGATGTCCCTTAGGTCCAACGCCACCCCTCATAACAGACAAGAATGGGAGTCAGCAAAACAACAATTTGATCTCTGGGCACAGAGGCAGGACACAATTTACTCGGCACACCTGGATCTCTCTATTCACAAATATGGCAACAAGGCGGGCAAATTGATGGCACGTCTGGTGAAGGGGAGATTTCGTCCTAGCCATATTCTGTCCCTTAAACACCCCTCCGGGCATATAGAACAGGACCCATTGCGCATTAATCGGATCTTAGAAGATTTCTATAGAACTCTGTATTCCGAGGATGAGCATGATGGGATGGCAGCGGAACGATTCCTCGAAACTCTGGGACTCCCAACCCTGTCACCAGATCAGCTCTCCTCGCTGAATGCGGATATTTCACGGGAGGAAATAGTGTCAGTTATCAAACAAATGGGCAGGGACAAAGCCCCAGGCCCTGACGGCTATTCGGCCAAATTTTATAATATACTGCACTTGGAGGTGACAGATTCCCTCCACTCTTTATTTAACTCAGTATGGGAGGGAGGTCCATATCCGGCAGCTGGAAAAGAAGCGTATATTAAACTCATTCCTAAGGAAGGAAAGGACCCCACAGACCCAGGCTCATATAGGCCTATTTCTGGTGCAGGGAGAGGGCCCTATGCAGCTTAGAGTAGCCCATTCAGCTATTACTTATCTGGGTCTGAAAATCGGGAAAACACCATCCTCTTTATACTATCTGAATTACCCCCCCTTAATTGACAGGATAATCAAAGAACTAGAAATGTGGGATAATCTCCCCCTCTCACTCTTCGGGAGAATACACCTGCTAAAAATGATTAGCTTCGCCAGACTCCTGTACCCCATGCAAAACCTTCCTCTTCTACTGAAGAGTGGCGACATTAAAAGACTTATGAGAGTGATGTTGCAATTCGTCTGGCAGTCTAAACGGCCAAGGATATCACACAGGAAACTGTGGTTGCCAAAGAGCGAGGGGGGTGCTAACTTCCCGAATATTAAATTGTACAACATTGCGTGTTTGCTCAGACATGCACTGGATTGGTTGTCAGGTAGCTCTATGTACTCAAATACGGACCTGGAAGGGGAACTAGTTGCACCATAGTACTTGAAAGCGATCCTTCATTGTAGGATCCCCATGCTGCCCCCAGGCATTCGACAAAATACTTTATACAGGGACACCATCATTGCATGGCGAGAAACACAGAAGGCACTGCAACTGTCTCTGTATATGTCGGTCCACAACTCGTTCTTAGGTAACCCTATGTTCTCACAAGGTGTTGATTATGCTGCTTTCCATAAATGGAAAGACAAAGGGTTATTTAACTGGCGACAATTATTCCATCCACGCACCGGTCAGTCTCTCTGCTTTCAGGAACTATGTCTACAATTTAACTTACCAGGAGCAGATTTCCTGCACTTCTTACAACTTAAATCAGCCTGGAAGGAGTATGGGGGTACACCCAAGGAATTATTCTCTTCGTCCTTTCTGGACATTCTCATTAAGGACAGATCATACTCTGCTTCGACAATGTACCCCAGGCTCCAGATGCTATTTCTCAACCCTCTTTACTCCTCAAATGTGCGAGACTGGGCAAGGGACTTTGATGACCCAGATATGCTGGATAAAATCCTCAGAGGCTATAACACAATCAGGACTATAACTCCTAATGAAATATGGAGGGAGACCCAGTTCAAGATCCTTCACAGAACCTATGTTCCGTTCTTTCGGCCTCCGGACAACGGGGACGTGCCCGCTCCAGGGCGACCAACAACATCCATCTGCCCGAAGTGTGGGTGTCCCAGACCCACATTGCATCATTGCTTGTGGAGTTGTCCCTCTATATCCCGCTTCTGGACCCAAACACTCACGTACATCAACTCTGTCAACTCCTGGCAACCGGATCTGGATCCGGCCCTTTGTCTATTCGGCTTCCTGGCGCCTTCGGGAGAGGGCCGGGGAAAGCAACGGGGAAAGGGCATGGACTGGGCCCATCTATGCCTTCTGATGGCGAGACTGTGTATAATGAGGCACTGGAACTCTCCACTGGCCCCAACGACAACAGAGATTACTATGGATCTTAAACTCCTGATGAATAAGGACAAACTGGATGCAGAGATACATAAAGATACCCGTTCTACGTCTTTCCTATCGCGCTGGAGGTATTTTCTTAGTAGTTCTTATTCTGTAGAGGACATCCACCA